TCCTTCTCAGAAAATAAAAACCAAAATAGAGCATATTTGTGACTCCTGGTCAACTGCCAGTGAATGGGCAAGTGAATGGGAGTACAAGATTCGGTCTGCTGGAGATCAGAAAAATCGGCTGAACTCGCATGGTTGAGGACCTTATATTATTATATCTGACACAGAACAGTACCAAAATATATGTATTTATGATATTTAGTAGGCTTTGGAGGCTGGCACCCCGTAAATAAAAACAATGCTTCTATATTGACGTTTTTTTTTCTGGATTTTTATGTTCCAAGCTGTCTGCCATTGGTAGCGTCCACCATAAAAAAAAAAGACTACTGAAGAAATCTTCATTGACTTGTTTTTATGCTAAGTCGTTGCTTTTGTCGCGGAGCATAGCCTTTGGATTCTATTACCAAACATGATAAAATTTAAAGGAGCATACATAGTTTCCATAGCATATTAGCATGCAAGTATGATAATGTTGAGTTTGTGCATCGTGTCGCAACTCTCATATGAGACTTGCAAGTCAATGACTGTCCAATTAAGTATTATCATTATTAGTTTGGAGGTTCACCTGCAAGTTTATCCATACTACTAAAAACCATTTTTACTGTCTTTGAACAGCCTTGGTGGTTGAAATATTATTGAATCCTGAGCAAGAGAAATAAGATTCGGCAGATCCCAGCAGCGGAAATTGAATTCTCATTGGTGAAATGCATGCGTCGGAAATCAAAATTCTGCCATATAGTTCCCGCCAACACTACTCAGTATCTTGAGCTTCCCTTTCTGACTACATGTATGCATGTATTATTTTAGATCGGAGAATCGATTTACTATTTCCAATTGAACATTGAACATTCACCTTGCTTTACTATGTGGCCACAGCTCATCGTCGATACCTTCAAGAAGGTTGATCCAGAGGTGGACAAGCACTCCTTCTACGGACCCTGGAACAGTGTCCTCTTTAGTGCTTGGAAGTCTGGTCCAGTCTGGTCTTTTGTCAAAATTTGACAAGACCGAGACCTGGACCGGTCCTCACAAGTTGACAAACCTCGAAAAACTGGACTGAACCGATGTCAACCAGTTCAGTGCGGTTTTCGTTGGTTTTCTACAGTTGAAAGACTGGTCTCAACCAGTTTCAGTCTCAACTGGTTGAGGACTGGTTGAGACCGGTTTTGTGACTACTGACAATGTATATAATTGAGTATCTATACTACTGAGCTGGTACTACGACAAGGATAACCCTCGTTCAGTTTCGTGGGAGGGGGGGGAAGTAGGGGAGAGTGTCCGTTGTCATCCATTGTCGCTGCCACATCACATTGTCATTATCTGCCCCTCTCCATCGTCATCCTGTGGCTGTTTTCAAGTTGTCGTTATCGTTATCACCAAAGGTGGCAGAGGTCGAGGGGGTGATGTGGCACATCCGAAGGCAACCATTGGGGTGCCACGTACTTTCCTCCATGCGCCGTCGACATGGCAGGCGCTCGTTGTTGCCATCATTGTCATCTGTGTGTGTGTGTCAAGGTAGGCCTGGGCGGTTGACAACAGTAGTGGGTGGTGGGCTGTGAGCAATGTGGAGAGGCAGCTTGGAGGCAGTGGCAGGGAGGGGGGGATTGTCATGGAGGATGTGGCGCGGTGTGGGCATGTGGATGTTGTTGCTGAGCCTCCAGTGCGTGAGGTGGTGGTCGATGTGTGGGCGTGAGTGTCATTTAGCCCATTGCAGGCACTCACGATGCGTGCGAGGCAGTGGTGACGAAGGGTGGTGACGAAGGGTGATGAAGGGGAAGAGAGAGTTTGTGTTTGTATTTGGTTACGACTTTTGTTTGGTTACGAGTTCCAGTAAAAGACCGGTTAAGACCAGTTAGACTGGTCTTTTGTCGGTCTTTAAATTTCCGAGATCGTGAGAGACCGAAGACTGGACCGCGGTTGCAGTCTTTGACGGTCCTGGGAATTTCCGGTCTTGGGCAGTCTTGGTCCAGTCCAGTCTCAGTCTTTTCCCAGTCTTGGGACTGGACTTCCAAGCACTAGTCCTCTTCCACTGCTTCCCACTTTCTGAAGGCTATATCATCTGTCCTCAGTTCCCTGTCTCTCACATCGAGCCCAGTATTACGGACACCACTGATTTTGTCATCACATTCACTATCATGAAAAATGAGGTGACCATATTCTTTGTCGAGGTCAAGGCTCCGAAATATCTCAAAGACATATATGCAAGAGAAGCCGCCAATGAACAAATGCGAAAAAGATTCGACCAACTGTTCGAGAGTTCGCCCTACAAGATGCATGGTATCAGTGCTTTCAGCACCAACGTGTGCTTCTACCAACTGGAAAAGGATAATGCTACTGGTATTATGAGATTCCTGAGGCCTCCTCCAGCTGCAAAGTATCTGGAGCAATTTCTTGTGGATATGGTGCTGAGGGATCGGTGGGATCTCAATATACATCATGAGCAAGGGTATGTCAAATTTATGGAATTTGTTGAGGAGGCCAAGGCTTTGGAACTTCATGAACGTATGTACCTGGCCTACTTATTCTTGTTTTTTCAGCTCGGTTTGCTGACTTTATCTAGCAGCGTAATCGGCTTCAACTCGTATTCAAAGTGGTACCGATTACATAGTGTCATGATCTCGTTTCCGTTGTAAGGCTATCGATGCCCGAACGCCTAGCTATCTCTACCATGCTCTTGCGCATCACCTGGGCCGTGCCAATCATTATCTGCTCACAAAAATAGATTGTCAATTTCCGATGATTGAAATGAAGAGAGAAATAACCTGATAGGATATGATATCAGCAAGCTCTGCATCAGGGAAAAATAACTTGATTATGTAGTTCTAAATAGCCACAGTATTTATAGTAGCCTGGTATACAAGTCCCCCCATATGTTGCTTCGGTAGTTCTCCCTTGCATTGTAGTAGACACCAGTAGTCTTCCCTTGTACTGCAGTAGATACCAGTAGTATCTTGGTAGCATCTCAGTTTCCCCCCATACTCGAAGGTAGCACTCAGTAGTTCCTGCCTACAGCAGCTACCTGATCTACTAACAATGCTTATTTTGGCACATGCTGGGGATCACGAAAATAGAAAATTGCATTGCGAGTTCTAACTATCAAACAACTACTAATATGTACCTAGGCTGATAACTCACTGTTGGTATCCCCAGTTCGGCCATCAAACTCCATTTGAACCCGATCCTTGGCGTCACCAACACGCCTAGAAACGATGGCAGCTTCTTTGTTAACCACACCGGAATTATGACTTGAGCCGCAATCACCTGAGCCATCGTTGCACAATTGAATCTGCTCGTGCAGTTGGTGGGCCGTTGCAGCCGTTCGGGAGGGTGTTGGTGAGTCGTCGTCGTTGTGGGTGGGGCCGTGTTCACCATTGGTGGGACGGGGTGCTCGGCCGTTGTCACTGAGCGTGGTGGGTCGTCGTCGCCGTTCGTGGGTGTTGTGTGGGCCATTGTCAGCGTTGGTGGGGTGGTGGGCCGTCGTGGGTGCTGGTGATGAGCTGTGCTCGCCGTTCATGGGGGTGCTGGTGGGCCATGGTGGTGGGCCGTTGTTGGCGTTGGTGTGGGCCATTGTTGGCATGGGTGGGGTGTGGCGCTGGCCATTGTTGGCGTTGATTGGGAGTGGTGGTGGGTCGTCGCCGCTAGTAGTGTTACCGTGTGTTGCTGCGTGTAATCGTCGTTGCATGCAGTCATCGTCATGCTATTGTCGTGTGTTCGTCACCTTTCCTCGTAGTGTGGTTGTCGTCTCCTATCGTCGTAGTGCAGTTGTCGTCGTCTATCGTCGTCGTCTGTCATCGTCATCCGTCATTGTCGTCCATCGCTGTTGTGTCGTCGCCGGCTTTTGTCGTCGTTGCGTTGTGCCATTGTAGTTGTCGTGTAGTCATCTCTTGGTGGGTCAAGTCAGTTGGGTTGGGACAGGGGTGCTCACCGATGGACGACGACGACAAATCTGTCATCGTGTAAGATAGATGTATGTGGTGTCCGTGGTGGGAGGGAAAGAAAGAACGAACGATTGTGGTTGAACTTTCCGTGAGAAGTCAACATAGAATCACGTGGCATCGGAGCTCGAATGGACTTAGAAACATTTCTGATTCAGAATTAGGCAACAGCACCGGTTTCATCAGCATGATTTCTATCTTCTCCGATACTTGCTCGATCTTCATGTATATTGTACGCGACGTATACAACATCAATATTTCAAGAGCCTAATGCAATTTTCTATGTGAATGTACCGGGACAACTAATAATACCCAGGCTACTAATGGTAGTGTGAGGTTAACTCAAGCAACTCGAGCAACTGACATCACTTGATGGTGTATCAGGACTACTAGCACATGACTTGTAAACTACCAACGTCTACCACCTTCATACCAGCCTACTGGGTATATTGTCAGAACAATGGGGACAATGTATACAAGGGGCAAACTACCTATACTTTTTTTTTTTCCTGATGTGAAACAGGACCATATCTCCATTTCTACGACAAAAACCCCGATGACTCTCTTTTTTTTTGCAAAGAATCACCACATACTTAGGAGTCAATCGGTCGTGGTCCGCAATGGATGGGCGAGCAAAAAATGGACTATCATCACCAATTAATTACACATACAGCATTGTATAATACGACAATAAAAACGTAGTCGGGATCAGAGCCCGGAGAAGGGACAGCATGTGTAGTTTATACATTTTCTTGGGGGATGTGGACAACAGAAGATGATTTGGGGGAGGAGAGTGTGGTACATGGTCATGATCATGTTCATGGGAGGGGAAAATCGGCAAGAGTAGCAGTCAATAAATGTGTGTAGGGTTAGAGGTTTCAGAAGAATTAAGGATTAGGGGGATATTGCAAGGGGATATAATATGGCGGGATTGTTGGGAATGTTGAGGATCACAATGCGAATCTTAATGCGACGGGCAGTGTAGCCAGGATATCAGAGTGAATACAACGATCAATGATGGAGATGCGACGAGAGCAGTGGGATCTAGCAAGAGAAAGCAAAAGCAGATCAAACGAGGGCTGCAGACTGGAGGTAACCTCGGAAGCGAACTAAACAAGAAGGTCAGCAAAACAATCCAAGGCGCTGCAATGGAGCGTACCGTTTCCAATGATACGCTGCGTCGCCTTTGTGTCCTAGACGTCAAATATGAGAAAGTTTTTTTTTAGGTTTCGCCGAAAGACAACTCACCACTACACTCGTGAAATGAGTATACAGCACCCGACGATTCTCGTTGTTTCGTCTATGAACCTGCAGGAAGTGAGCACGGAAGTATTGAACGACGGTCTCGTAATCGTTGGACCGATCGCCGAAGGACGTGATGCTGATGAGGGGTGAGTGATAAAAACCTGGTTGCAAACGGGGTGACTCACTACTTCCGGACCTTGAGTCCGGTGTCGAGCTTCGCAGATCCGTCTTATCTGTGAAAAAAGAATTGTGATGAATGAGCACGAAGGAACGATGAGAAGAGCCCCAGCGCATTTACGCACTCAGGAAGAAGACCAAGTGAACGTTCTTCAGCCGGGCGTTCAAACATATTTGCGTGAATAATTGCAGAGAGTTGTCTATCCTGTTCGTCCGAGGGTCTTCTTCAAGATACTAAATGGATTTGTTAGCATGGTTACCAACAACGTGGCCGAAAAATGAGAGTTGAGAAAGGAACCACAAAGCGAAACAGAGAAGCACGCTGGTGGTTGCCACGTTTCATAAGGAAGTGATAGAAATGGAGGACGGCGCAAACACCAAGGGAAGAGAAAGAAACTCGCCTGATCAAATGCGCTCACGGGAGCAACAAAAATGATAGCGTTCGCATCATCGAAGTATGGCACCCACGAGTGTCTCTGTCCTCGAGCACCACCTACGTCAAATAGATGCCAGGTCACAGATTTCCCGTGGATATTCACATCAAAGATGTGTTCAGCGACTCCCATAGTCTGGATACGAGCATGAAGGATGTCGTCTGGTGGGATAAGGTGAATATATGCGCGATAAACAGAAAGAATAACTACTTTACCTATGCTTGGGACGTAGTCCGGCGATGCGACACGCGTGATGTTCTTAAGAAAACTAGAGAAACAAGATCAGAATAGAATACTAGAGATCAAGGTAGGCGACGTACAACTTGGACCATTCATCAAGTTTCCGTTTCCGTTTAGCGATTAACCCCTTGACAGTGGGATGATGCTACAACTCCCGGATATCCTGAACGGAGAGCTCCAGCATTCGCCCAACGTCCTGTACCAAAGGGTCCTGCGGTTCAATCTCACCAGTCTTCTTTTCGCTTTCGGCCGAAGGGCGTTTTTGTTTGATCCTTCCGAGAGCATTCTCGATGGTACGGGCCTGCCACCCACTATGCACAAAGACGCCGCCCTTACCAGAACCAGACACCGAGATTCCGCCACTGAGCCTGTCCGCGAGCTCGGCGCAGCTACCAATGGGAACAACCTGCGTCGAAGGTTGGCTATCTGAAGGGCGCCGCCCTCTTTCATCGAATGGGAGTGTGAGCCGCCGGCCTCCGACGGCATCAGGGAACTTGGTGATCCTTGGATGATGCTGCCCGTCAAGAGAGAAGTAGATGGTGACGGCTGATCTGCGATACCGTTCCCGCGAGCCTTCTTTGGTATGATAGACTGTGAATCGTCCGTCGATGTAGGTTGCGCCTCGGCGTCTTCGTCAAGAGTGTCGTCCCAAGCTTCAAGCGTAGCTAGGATGTGTTTTAATAAATGAACGACGTTGAAGTAGATGACCGCTGTCCAAGATGCGCGTTCTTGATCCATCGAAGTGGGTTTATACATGAGCTGGAACTGTTTTTGAAGCGTCGATTTCCCGCTCTCGGCTTGACCAAGGAGAAGAAGCTAGCAGCGCAGGATGAGTATATGCGGCACATAATTGTAAAGCGCACTGACCTTGACGTCGCCCTTCTTCTTCTTCAATCACTCCCGCTCCTCCCGCAGCTCGTCGTCGATTTGCTCAGAAACCCGTTTCGCCTCGGCTTCTGCGTACAGACGGGACGTACGCTCTGCCTCCGTCTCCATGGGTGATGGTTTGAGGACAGCGGAGATGGGATCATCCTGGCTGTAGAGCGACGGCGTGCGCATTAGTCGAGTGGGCGGAGGCGATGGTGGTGGTTATGAAGAAAGAAAAGAAGACGGCCTGTTGAGCAGGATATTTAAATGCATTGCATTGATTTCACTGGGGAT